ATCAAATGGAGACCCATGGAAAGCTGTAACATGGCAAGAACGTGACTGGTGAAGCACTCAGCTCAAATGTCAAATGTCAAATTTCCCAAATTTTTTGGGAGGGCATATTTCTTGGGGACGTTACGTTTTCAAAGAATTTTTTAATATCCTAGCGAATCGGGCAGAAAAAGAAAAATAGCAGCTGCCGCACGCATAACGGACGTGATGTTGATTTAAGGAAAAATTATACTTTTGCTGAGCGCCAGACCAGAGCACAGCTTTTGGGTGGGTTGCTTTTCCAAATATTTTTTTTTTTACTGCCAGCAAAAAGGGGAAACGTATTAGGCTGAAACTGGGTGGCATGGAGTTTCATGAGTCTATATTTCAGAATAATAAAATAATTACGTTAAAAAAAATCAGGACATTTTTTTCAAGTAACATTTTCGGGAATTATTTTTCGATCCAACGAAACAGAAACAAAATTTAAAATTCCCTCAGAAGTACCTGTTTGATGACTGAGTACAAGAAAGATCCGACTTTTAAAATATGCACCCTTAGCGTAGATTATAGGAGGGAAGTATTTGACAATGTATTCTCCACCCTTACAAAAAGGGACCCACGCAAATATTTCAAGTTAGGCACACTAGAAATAAAAGAAATAATGATTTTGATATAAAAAAATGAAGACTTTCATCCCCATATGTCACGCATTTCAATGGGACGTACTTTGAATACGTGTTTCCCATTTCGCAAAGAATAAATGAATTAATCACTAGCCATGATAATGGAGCGCCGAAGGCGCGTCCACAGCGAGTTTGTTTACCCGAAGGGCAAACAAACTCGCTAGTATCATATACCTGGTTCGCATTCGGCAGTTGCCTCCAGGAAACCTTCTCAGGCGTAATTTTTTTAAATTTCAGATGGGGAACTCCATGAACTTAAGTAACTTTTTTTTAATACGAAATGTTGATAGTAGTTGACTCTCACTTCGGTTTCGACGTTACTAGTAAACCTTTCGTTAAGGATGCATTCCCATAGATATAAGAGGGTATATGTCTATACTAACATAAAAGGTAATTGTTTCACCTTGAGATGTCAATCTAATAGTTGAACTACGGTATTAGAAATGAAAATGCATTCTTGGACTGTTCGGATGACAAGCATAATAAGCGTTCCGGTGAAGCAATATATACGTGGTGATGCAGCCTGAATCACAGATTTCTCAGTAATTGCCGAAAATCAGTATCCTTTCGAGAATCAGGGCCACAATAAAGTCATAAAATGATAATATGCTGACCATATTGAATTCGAGTCTGGATCGCTTGGATGGTCGCTTCAAGAGCATGTCTTTCCTTCAGGACTTGGTTGCTAAGCTGGAGACTGACAGGCTTAGATTGCCGGAATCTGTCAAAGAAGTTAGAGAAACTCTTCGCTCCCAGTTTCCAAAACATAGTATCGAATCGAAGATCTCGGGAGTCCTTCGCTTCGTTGGACGTAAACAAGGCCGAATTATTGAAGCAAAAGTATTCCACGAAGGGTATGTTGGCTTCCTTGACAGCTTCAAGAACAGGTGGACTCTTGCTGTCTGCAAATGTGATCATCAGATAAATATTTTTTATGACATCCTTCCCGAACGCTGACAGAATGGAGTCGAAGATGTATTTCTCAGTGGGGGTCAATCTGGCGTTAGATGCCTGAAGCACGAATCCGATCCCATCTACATGATCCAAGCCTTCCGGTTTTCCCTTGGCGAAGAATGTCTGCAGCTGAGTCGTGATGTTCTTGTCCCCTATTAATCCCTTGGTGTCTCCAAATCCAGGCGTGTCTACGATAGTGAGGTTGTAGGGAGCTTGGCATCCCTCTTGCCAGGGAAAGGTGTAGGCTGTGATCCAGGACGTCTGACTCTCACTCATGGGTTTTCCGCTTTCGTTTTCAGGGATCAATACCAGTCGGAAGGGGTCTTCCCGCTGCACTCCATAAAAGTGATTTACAAATGCGTTCACGAGAGTGCTCTTTCCTGCTCGAATAAAAACCTTCAAAGATTACCTTTAATCTAGTGGCATGCAATAGCTGAAGTAAAATATCGTACCTGCTCCCGTAGCACCGAGGAGTATGATTACTTTTTCCGGTCGCTCCTCATGAGTCGATTCAAATGGTAATTTACACATGGCCGTCCGATTTCCCAGATCCCTCATTATATCCACTACGCGGGTTTCATATAATGAAGGCCTACCTTGGTAAATGTTTATTCCCTTCTCCTTTAAATAAATTGCTGGTGTCCGAGGAGTTTGTAAGGGCGACATGGGAGGCTTCAGTGACGCTGATGGGGGAATAACGTGATGTAAAGTCTGCTCTCGCGCCTGAGCTAAGGGGAAGTCCCAGATGACAGTAGGACTAAATGGTCCAATTCCAAGACGGCTTGTGGCACTCACCTGCATTGAAGAGTCAAGATTACTATGAATAGCACTCGATATTAGACTCGCACATGACATTGGCATATGCGACCCATACGACTCAAATGACTCATGAGACATATGACAGCGATAGAACTAACCTTGAAGTGGTACCTCTTTCCAGGAACAAGATCGAAGATCCTGATGGGTGGTAAAACCGCTTGACTGCATTGCCAGTTCTCTGGAGGATCGCTATCGCTTCTGAACAAGACAAGAAACCCGCTGATGTGGTCTTCCCCAGTGGCAGGAAAAATCCAATTCACTTCGATGGCTGCTTCTTCTGGCAAACCTAGTACCCAAATATCGAGAGGTTCTCCTGGAGGGATGAACACTTGCGGGGAGGTCGTTCCCGCTTCAGTCAGAGTGATCGAACAGAGAACTTCTAAATTAACTGCTTCCGCTGCAACAAACTTTACATCCGCATTCCCCTGATCTCGTGCGTAATAGAGGAAAATGCGTTGCA